AAGAAAGGACTGGCTGTCATGTCTGGTGAGAGGGAATTCTCTGGGGAGCCCTGTTGACCAGGGACCACTACTGATTCAGTAAGTGACCCTTTTTACCTTCTCTCAGGCTGCCAGATCTTTGGGGCCGTGTGCTGGCTTCTGTCTCAATCCTGTCCTCAGGCACGAGGGCAGCTGCTCTAGTTTCTCTCTGCCTCCCTACTAAGAGGATATCTGGGCCCAAGGGGGCCGGTGGGCCATCTTCAGAGCCGGCTCCCTTCTGCTGGGACTGGTTTCAGGGAAAGGTCTGTGGTTCTTGTCTTGCAGTAGCTGGGGTGCCTGAGTATTGAGTGTCAGAGTTAGGCCCGGGGTGGAGTCAGAAGACCCTCTTCAGACCATGTTCTCTGTCACAGCTGTGGCTGATAGAGTGCCCGCTCAGCTGAATAAAATCCTATCAATTTCCTGTGTGAGTAGTGACTGGTCTGTATGTTTCACCATCCACAAGCCTGGAGCGGAAGACAGGTGAGGAGTAGGATTTTTGCACCCTGATCCTCCAACATGTACATGAATGTACATAAATACACAGACGTAAGGTCTCTAATGTTATCGTTAGGTAGCTTTATGGATTAGGAAAGCCTAGAGGACCTTTTTAGAAGTCCCAAAGGTAGACCGTGGTCTTTCTCTGAGTTGGTGTCTGAGTTTAAATTAGTCTTCATGATAAAGTCATGGGGTGAGTGGCTTACTATGGCAGCTGAGAATAAGAGATGGAGAAGGAAGGCCGAGAGGAGGGATGGAAAGAGATGGTGGTAGGTTGAGCCTAAGGGCAAAAGCTAACTGAGAAATCCCCTCTGGTGGGGAAGTGTAGGGAGCTTTAACATGTCTCATCTTCAATGTCTACAGTTGTTCCCTGGTCTTCTCTGTGCAGTCATCTCCCTGCGCATCTCTCAGCTCTAGAAAAGTCTATTACTCAGGATAGCCTTAGTATTGTTTAGGGGCAAAGGAGGTCCAGGGATGGGATCAGCACTGGGCCAAGCAGGGCAAGGAGAGGAGAGGGGCCACAGAGACAAGAGTAGCGCCCGGGAACCCAAGCTGGTAGGGAACATGGTTGCAGCACTGAATGACCAAGGGTGGACATGGATGAAAAACACACACCTTCCCATACCCCCCTCCCCACCGAGAAACTAGAGGAAGGCTGCCTTGGGGGGATGGGCGAGGATTGCGTATAATACAGTCTTGAGTTACATGTTATCTAGGAAAGACAAGACACTATGTGTTGTTTGGTGTTTTTATTAATACTCTGTCTCCAATTTTATCAGGAATATTCATTTAGCCGTTAAGGTATTACCTTCCATTACCAGTTAATTTTTCATATGCTTACGTGCTTCTCTGAAACTAAACTAAGCATGCGTAAGGACAACGAGTAGATTTACTCTTCTTTGGATCTGCCAGTGCATCTAGCACATGGTGCGTCTTCAACAGATATTGTTTGATTAACAAGATATACAAAACGATGAAGCTCTACAGGTGAAAATGGGTGTATATTTATTTTGTTTTTAAATGATAATTTTTACAAATGCAGCATCAACCAAGATGACTGTTAAGAGTCCAGGTTTTAGGGCAAGATTGCCTGGGTGTGAAGGTTTAAAGATTGGCTCCATACCACCTGTGACCTTGGGCTGATTACTCAATGTCTCTGTGCCTCAGTATTCTGATCTGTAAAGTGAGCATCATAATAGTACCTCCTTCATTGGGGGGTTCCAGAGATTTGTAAATATATTCAAAGCATTAAGAACAGTCCCTGAAAGTAGGGACGTGCTATTTGCTTTTGTCATCCTGTCTCACCTGCTTGAGACTATGGCACCGTCTGGTACTTCTCTAATTGTTTAGGCAAGTACGCTTGTCTTCCTTCCCAAGTGTTGACTCCTTGAAGAGGGGCAATTGGCCTTCCATTCCCCTGTCCCACTCTCTGGACATATCATCTGGAAATGCTTTAGTGATCGAACTGAAGGAAGACCAGCCAGTGACCAGTTACTTAAAGGCAGAGAGATGAGACTGGTTGCTCAAGTCACATCAGCCAATAAACTGAACCAAGAGCCAGTGACCCCTGAGTACCTCATGTCTAACAGACCTCATAATAACCTGTCTTCTTCTCTCAAGGAATTAGGGTATTTGCTCTGGCCCTGGATGCCTCTAAAAAGTCTGTACCAGTGGTCCCCGGTGTGGAGTGTGTACAACACAGGGGATGTGAAAAATGACCCCCTGGGATATGGGAAAGCAATCTTAGAATTTTTTTTACATCAATGTTTAATCTTGACTTTTACTAGATATAATTTAATAATATTGTATAATATGTACATAATTTATAAGCAAAAGATATATACCCGTATGAAAGGCATTTTCTCAAACATACAGGTTCTGATATGTTTGAGTTGCAGTATTAGCTGGGAAAGTGTGAGGATTTGAAGTGAAATGAATTAAGTGTAGAAATAGGGAGGAACCTAGGCAGGTGCAGGGGAAAGAGAGATTGTGCTTTATGCTTAGGAGCTGGAAATAGGTGGCTTCTCCCCCCACCCCCTACCCCGTCATTCCAAGAGGCCATCCATGCACTTCTGGAAATTTCTGTAGTGTTGTGTAAATCAGCATATTTCCTCAAAAGTGCCTCAAGTTCTGGGGCTGGCCTGGTGGTGCAAGTGGTTAACTGTGCGCGCTCCGCTGCGGTGGCCCGGGGTTCGCCAGTTCGGATCCCGGGAGCGCACCGACGCACTGCTTGGCAAGCCATGTTGTGGTGGCGTCCCATATAAAGTGGAGGAAGATGGGCATGGATGTTAGCCCAGGGCCAGTCTTTCTCAGCAAAAAGAGGAGGATTGGCAAATGTTAGCTCAGGGCCGATGTTCCTCACAAAAACAAAAAAAAGTGCTTCAAGTTCAAAGGTGCAGGCTGGGATGTGGTCTTGGACACCTGGAGATCACAACCTCAGCAGATCTCTGCCAGGGCAGAGATGACCATTACTGGGAAAAGCTGGGGCAAAGTGCCCTTTGAAGCACTTAGAGGACACTGCCCCCTTCCCTCATAAAGAGGGGCAAAAGAAAAACGCTGGTTCATTCATTCAGCACAGTTCTCCACAGATGGCTTAGAGAAGGGGTTGGCAAACTTTTTCTGTAAAGGGCCAGAAAGTAAATATTCTCAGCTTGAGCAACGATACGGTCTCTGTCACAATGACTCAACCTGGTCGTTGCAGCGGGAGAGCAACCATACATGACAAATAAGTGAATGGCGTGGCTATATTCCAATCACTTTATTTATGGACACTGAAATTTGAATTTATATAATTTTTAAATATCACAAAATATTACCCATCTTTTGATTGTATACCATTTAAAAATATAACAAAGTTTCTTAGCTCATGAGCGCGACTAAGACAGGTAGCCAGCTAGACGTGGCTCATGAACCACAGTTTGTAGACCTCCGGTTTAGAGAAGATCCTACGGTATTATTTCTTTTTTTAAGTGTGAACATCTTCACCTGTCTTAATTTGATATAGATGAATGAAGGATCTTTTTCTTATTGTAGCTCATTTTTCATTAAATCCCTGGAAGTTTATTAACAGGAGCGGATGAATATGGAACAGAGAATCAACATAATCCCTTTTGTTGTCAGTTTTTATTCAAATTAGATCTTGAACAACGTCACTGAGGTTATCTGCATCTTTATAAGGGGTGCGCGAAAATAAAATTACCTTAGTTAATAATATGCAACAAACTAAATCTTAAAATAGCCCAACCACAGACAGGAGTGGATCTAGCAGACTGCAGGCGAGAGAAATTCTGACACAAGAAAAATTAATAGGTATTCTTTCTCATCTAAACCAAGATGTGTATTATTAACATTGGACAGCATTTACAACGTCAAAAATAAAATAGAGTATTTTGTGCCTTTCTTCCTATGATGCAGTGAAATATTGAAATGTAAATATCAATAATCAACTATGAGAGCAGCTTAGCTTGCCTGGATTTCAAAACGTGTAATTTAGTATCATAATGCAGTTTAACAAAATTGCTATGCTCTACTTCGAGGTAACTAGAAGTTACAATCATCTGAGGATGCGGAGCCCTGTGTGCCAAGGTCTGGACCAGAGTTTCAGCTTTCCCACGCCTCAGCCCCCGTCGGGGGTAATGTGTATCATTAGAAATGAAGGAGAGCTCTACTGTCTGCAAATCAGCAACATAATATTTTCTAAGTTTACTTAGCAATAGGAGGCTTTATAATAAGTGCAATTCTCAACATCTTAATTATATCGATTTTATAGTTAAGTGTTCTTTAGCACATTTAATCATGACATTTGGCCAGTTATTTTGCAAATGGCTACATATTCTGGAAAATGCTTGTCTGTCTTCATGCAGCCTGTAAGTGTTCAATTCACAATATATATTTAATCCAGGAAAGCTATACAGTTGACTGAACCATATGCAATTGCCAATAATTGACCTTTAAATAATAATTTCATATGATTCAGCTGAATAGTGTGTATGAAATAAATTCTGTTTGCCTTACAAAATATGCTACATTTTTAGTAAATATGTTTTTTCCCCAAGCTTGTCAAATAGGTAGACTATATCATTAAAAAATACTTACCAGCATTAGACATGTGCCTTTTATGTCCAGAATAATGACTGTGCTTTCTTGAAGTATTTATATTCACTAAATACATTAATAATTATGTACAAAAAATTAGTACCACTTCCTTCAACTTGCCTGTTTGATAAAACAAGCTTACAACCCCATTGAACTTATTTCACTGACAATATAGTCAGGCAGCTAAACTGGAGTCATATCTGGTTTCTTTCATCGTGATCACAGATATTAACGAGAGAAGCAGGTCATACTGCTTGTGAGAGAGAGGACACACACACACACACACACACACACACACACACACACCCCTTTCACAAGGGAGTATTCTTTATGCTCCCAAGCAGACCCACTTCACTGTGGACAGACCACCGAGCGGGGTCCTGAATACACACCTGTGCTCGTGCGGTAGGTGCCGGTGTGTGCTGGCGGCAGAGGGTCCCCCTGGCTCTGGCTGAGACTCCTCATAGGGGGCTTCTGATAGACGCGGTCTTCATAGATGGGGTCTATGTGGTGCTCTGGGGACTGCAGGGCCCGCAGCTCCGGGCCCAGGTGGCCGTGCTGGCTGCTGTACGAGGCCCGGGACCCAGCTGAAATAAATAACAGGGACATTAAGACTTGACCAACATTCAAACAGAATTTGTTTCATCAAAAACATTTTCAAAATTTTTTTGGACAGAAATGTTGAAATCTGCAGAAAATCAAATGAATAACATGAAATGGCAGCAATATGTCAAGCTAATCAGCTTATCGGCATCACCCAGCTGCCTTGCTTTGCTCCCAAACCTGATCTTACAAAGATGATAATGATTCTGAGATAAATCCACACGGAACAGGGTCAGTGAAACATCATTTTTCTCAGCTAATGAATGTAGCTAGTTTCCTCACTAAAAGAATCAGGCAGACAAACCTAAAAACCTCTTATTATCCCGTAGTCCTTGCATCTTAAATTTTACAACAGAAATTATTATTTAAAATGATGAGCAAATGAATAAGCCAGGACAGCAAGACATCTTGACGTGGTTCCTGAAAAGTGAACAAGAATTTGTTCTCATCAGCAGTTTTTTCCTGGACAATGAATGAACCCAAATGTTCGTACTTAACAATAGTCTAAACCCCTGAGAGAAGCAGATTTTAAAGAAAAAGGTTTTGAAGTTACATTTTCCTTTACTCTCACCCTCCAAATTGAAGCATCTGCATTTAGTCTTCCTTCCTCTGAAAAAGGTACAGTTGTCACTCATGGGCTTAATTTATAAATTGGGGCTACACATCACTCGCCTTGTAGTGTTTTTAAATATTATTTGTGTCATTTTGTTGCGTTGTCTGGGAAGAGATGTGGCTTTGAAGCAATGCTGTGGACCAGGGAACCTCTGCACATGAGGAAATAGAGTTTTCTGAGGGCTAGGAGGTTGAGTTGACACACAGAAAAGAAGAGGCTGATGGAGAGCCCACATTTCATCTGAGGTACAGTCAGAACCGCAGGAGCAGAAGTACAAGGAGAATCGTCTCCCCTGGGGCAGACAGGCTGGAGGACACCCAGAGACAATGAAGGATGCGGGGCATCAAGGAGAGACGGTTATCTAATGATGGTTAGTAGAGAACACACACAAGAACCAAATGAGGCTACAGCTGATTTTAAGAAAGACCTGTTAGCTAAATCCCCAAAATTCATACCCATGTGACATGCTGGGATTTAACTGTCAACTGCCTTGGGAACAGCCCAAATCAGAAGCTCCCCATTCTAGCCTAAAGCAACAGGGTGTTGGAATTCCTTGATTTGGGTGGTGACTGTGGACAGCTCTCCCTCTGTTCTGCTCGTCCAGGGCCTTCACCAGGGGCCACTTTATAGCCAAAATCTTCAATGCTCAATGGGCTACTTCTTCAGCATTATGTAACCCCAGGGACTTTTAATGTCTCACCTAGTATATTAAAGGAAAAAGTTATTCAAAAGTTTTGAAATTGCCAAAAGATAAATAAATGTTTTACTGGTATATTTTATACAGGCTGCTTTAAATTTAAACAAGCAGAAAACAGAGCATTTTGGAATGATTGGGGCAATGCTGAAATTCTATGAATTCAGTGTTCATAAAAATCACTGAATGTTTTGAGGAAAGCGAAAGAATAGGGCAGACAAGTTCTTTACCTTTCCCTTTGCTAGCAATTAAATAAATTCTGATTTAGATAGCATTCAGATGAATGCTAGATCCAAAATAACTGTTTTGAATAATTAGGTTCATTGCATCTGATTTATCAAATGCCAACATCACACTGAATATTACCTCATGCTCATACTTTCCAGGAATATATTTAAGTACGATATGCCTTGAGTTCCTGCTGTCAATTCTTCCTACTTCTGGAGATTTTGATAATATTGCGAAGGACTTACAAGTGTAAAAAACAAGGAAACAGTCATTAAATCCAAATGCTTCATAGTTAGATAAAAGTTATCCATCACTGGTAGATTTAGAGTTGTAACTTTATCACCATTCCTTGATTCTATGCCTCTAAAAACATCCAATGATGAGCAATAAAACGACCTGCTGGTCTTTTAAGTGATGAGGTGATCTGAGGGCATGGGTGAAAATCCTCTTATGATAAGCATTTACTGGGCATTAGGAAATTTTTATTAGTACCATGAATTAGAAATTAATGACCAAGGGTCCTAGCAAGGAACAAGAATCTTAAGATTCGGTCTACCTCTGTGAATATCAGACTTTCTATGTGCTGCTATTAAGAAAAATATAATAATAAAATTAGTAAATATTTGAATAGTATACTATACTTTTTTATTAGCACACTCTTGATAAAACTATAAGTTCATAGTGTTTCCCTGTGGAAACATTTACACAAAGTACATTTGCATATTTAAGCATTATGCGTGGCACTAAATGAGATAAAGCATTTTGAAAGGAGCATTGTTTACACTCCTTTTTATCCATTGTGATGAGGTTTCAGTTATTCATGGGTGGGCACAGTTATTGGCAAGAGAGACAGAGAGAACTAGGAGAAAGAGTCAAGGAACCAAAGGTTAAAAGTACAACTTCTAGAATTCATGCCTTCTACCATTCTTGCTCAAGAAAGAATGTACCAGACTAACAAAGCCTATTTTATTTTCGGCAATTTCGAGAAAAAGATTCTCACACAACCTCTTCTGGGAATATGCTCAAAAATCTCATGAGATGGTGTATATGTTTGCTGATTCAAAGAAAATGTAATTTTCTTTAGTAGTAATTTTCTCTCACCATTACTTTCTATTTGACAGTGAGTCTTCAGCATTACATTGGACTCATTAGTAAGCATTTACATCTTTAGAAACATTAGTAAGCATTTACGTCCTTGCCAGGAACTGGCATTAGTGACCATTAGTAAGTACTGCATCTTTGCCAGGAATTGGAATGATGTTACTATAACAAGAAAAAATTCTGGAGAAACTTTGACTTTGTCCAAAATGTCAGAGATGTCAAGGCCAATGATGTTGGTGCAGAATAATTCTGAGAGCCTCACCTTGACCAAACTGAGGGTTCAGAACTTCAGCTTGACAAAGTGTAATGGAAACAAGGATGGGCCAAAGAGAAAAGGGAGAGGAGAACCCACAGACCAGACCGACTGCAGCAACAGTTTCCCCCCGCCACTGTGGACACAGGTCATGAGTATAATGCCTGTGTCCATAAGGCACTTTATGACCAATTTCTGCAACAATGTTTACATCATCCCGTGTTAACATCAATGCTATCATATGGTTTTACTCTTCCTACTTGTCCTCTCCACAGGACAAAGTTTGGGTCTAGAGAGCTCAGGCATTGGCAATTTTCGTAAATAATGTGTTTCTGAAAATGAGTCTGAAGACTCATGTCTGAAACGTGAATGCTCGCCTTCAGGCTGAGAGGTTATGATCCAGGAGGACTAAAGGATACTGTAACAGCCCCATGGGTGCTCTGTGCAGGCCATGCCTCCTGCACGTCCAGGAGCCCTGGAGGACTGGGGAGAACCTGCAAATTGATGTAGGACTGGGCTGACAGCTGCTGCACAAGAGCTATCACTTGTCACAGGGCCTCAGTCACCTCCTTACTGCTGCTGGGGCTGACATGAATGGATGCTCAGGCAGCTCAGAACCCAAGTCACTCCTGTCCACGCAGCTGTGGTGCTGATGGTGGGAAGAGAGAGGAAAGGGTTTGGTTCTGTGGCAGAAGGGGAGGTATGGGCTCCAGGGGCTCAGAGGGGTGGACAGACTGGACTACAGGAGAGTGGAGGGGACACCCCTGCTTCTCTGTAGGCACCTCCACTCCAGCGCTGTCATTTACATGAGCAACTCCTATGTAGAAACCTGAAATCATGGCTCACCATCAAATTCTGCATGTGAAAGGTGGGGTTAGGAGTGTAGATGTATAATGTTCAACAGTTTCAAGTAAAGAGAAATAGCATCTAAAGTAGTAATTCTACTGCTGTTTCTTGTGTCAATTTTGCCCAAACAACCCGAAATAAGAAGACATTTTAGGGCCCCAAATCTGTGTCTAACCAGCTGGGTGAATCAAGGCAAGTCACTGAACCTTGCTGAGCCCCGGTTTCCTCAAGTGTAAAAATACAGATAATAATACATGCATTTGTATGGCATGGGATTCTGGAGGATCAAGATGAGAGAGATCACGTGAGAAAGTGCTCTGCAATTGATAAAGCAACATAAAAATAGGTATTCACGTGTCATTTGATCTTAGAATCAAGAAATTATATCATCTCATGAAAATATATCTTTTGATTTGAAAAAACACACCTTTTAACACAAACTATCAAAAACTTAGAGATTTAATTTTTAAATACAAATGGCAAAATTTTTGATAATTTTGTGAAATATCGCAAAATGTAACTCTCATGGTTTTATTTTCTTTTCTTAAACAAACATTAGTGTTGCTTTTTAATAGACAATTGCAAAGAATGCAGGAATGAAGGAAGTCCAAAAGGGAAAGAAATACTGAAATGAGTAAGAAAAGGCGGAATCCTTTTCAGAAAGGGATATGGCATAAATTAAACCTGCAAACTGAAGATAACAAACATTTGCTGATCCAGGAGGAAGTCAGCAGCAGATCTGAAGGGAGTTTTTGACACGGAAAATAATTATGAAGCTGAAAGGACTCACCTTTCCCTTACTGCCTTGCTTGTCTCACTCCCCCACTGAATGTGACTGCACGTGAAATGCGACTCCACATTTTCCTGGGTCACAGAATCCAACAGGCTCTGTTTTCATTCGACCAGCAGTGTGAAACATTTCTCATTTTAGAGTGATTTGCAAATAAATTTCTATGTACCAGATTTTACATATATCGTTTATATGTCCCAGTTAATTGACATTGATGGATATACTCATTCAGCCAACACATATTTACTGAGTGCCTGGGCAACTTCTAGGAGTTGAGACCCCATGGAGCTTACGAGAGACAAGGCTCCTGGCCTTGAAAATAAGTAAGCCATCGTTTTCAGGCAGCTATGGAGATAAAGATACTAAAGAAAGATAAAGTAGGGTAGACAACGTGTCCGGCGTATCCTGTTTTGATATGATGGTCAAGAATGATCTTTTTGAGCATCTGAAATTTCAGCA